CGGCCGGTACCGCCACAACCGCTATGTCCCTGCATTTGAAGCCTGTAAATCTTCGAAAAAATTCATTTAAATTACATTTTGTAAAGGGCCATATTGATCTATATTAAATGTGCAATGTATTTAAAAGTACGTAATTGGAAAAGGATGAAAAAAAATACAATATATACATATATCACTTATTTCTAAAATTTGTTTGCTCTTAAGTAAGATTGTGTTATTGAGCTGTTTTGTAGTCAATAATACTTCAAATTGCAATCGTTTTACTGTTGTTCAATTTGATGCATCTAATTTCAGTTGTCTTATAATAGCAATATCAAGAAGCACACTTGTTGGTTCGTTGCAATGTAAAAGATTTCATTGAAACGACGACATAATTGGGAAGGGTATTATTATTAAGTTTTTTCATTTTATTTTCAAACGGATTTGCTTCATCGAGCCCCCATAAGGTAGATTTAATTGTAATAATTATACATGTGATAGTTTTGCTCCTTCAGACTCATATGAATAAACCTATAAGGCAATCCTCATTTTAGTATCACTACTTTTTTTTTGGTGGGATTTTTTTGAGGAATCTACGGGGAAATCCCTATATCGGCATGCCCTTCGTTAGCCACATGAGCCCCGCACACTACATGGGGGCAAGTACCCTATAAATTCTAGTCGGGTTCTAACACCGATCATTTTTCTGTTGCAGGTTTGCGAAGAACAAAGCTGTCAAGACGAAGTATTCCCTTTAGCAATGAATTTTATGGATAGGTTTTTAAGGGTTTGTTGCATAAGAATCTCTATAATTATCGACAACTATTGATATATCGATATTTAAAGAGAACTACTACGATAGTTATTAATATATCGATAGTTATCGACATATCGATATATTCGATAATTGTCGGTAGTTATCGATACATTGATAGCAATAAGCAACTGATAACTATCGACATCTTTATCAATATATCGATAGTTATCGACATATCGATATATTCGATAATTGTCGGTAGTTATCGATACATTGATAGCAATAAGCAACTATGTACGTAAACTTGAAAAATCGATAGACTATCCCTAGATGTTGTGTTGCGTTTTGTAATTTTCTATTTCCCATTTAAATAACGCAGTAGTAATGTTTNAGACCATTACCTGCCCAAACATTAGTCTTTTATACCGATCACAGTATCACCATAGAGCAACTCAGGGTAAGTGATCAACAACAATTGATATCTTATTCTTAAACGTTTCCTCGTGCGTTCAAGTATTTCAACATAAATAAAGACACTCAAAGAATTATTTAAATGGCGCCAGGACTTCTTATCATTAAATTAAATGCTTGGTGAAATAGTTTCTATTTTCAAGGTATAATAATTGTATATTTGTGACTGATAAGACTACTTTATAAGAGATAAGTTTTACCGAGCCTGTATGACACTTGTAGGTCATCAAAACAAAAAGTTGTTATTTTACATTTATAGAGCATTATAAATCTATTTATTGCTAAATTATTTTGCTAGTTTTTTGCCTTTGAGTTAAATAATCAGTTATTCAGAATAAAAAAAAGTATTTTTTATTTTGTATTTGCATTTTAACTGCAAGCATTTCAAATAAATCACATCTCTGGTATATAGGTACTTGCATAAAATCATCATCGACAAAATCTCCATCGTCTTATTAATCTTAAAATCAACAAACTGATGAAATAAAATCGTCGGCAAAATCCATACCTGTGTCTTATGTGGCATACCACTGCTAATAGACTAGTATTTCCTTTCATTAGAAGAGCTATTTAATCGAATTGGCCGTCTTCATGTTTAGTGTGCGGTACCATTCAAGAAAATACAAGCACCCATGAATTTAAATTTTCTCGGAAGAGGTTTGCCTTCATACGCGTTTGTATCATAAGTGCCTTGTGGTGCACATACAGAGACGTGTTTAAAAACGTGTACAAGGGTATACACATCCATACCAGCATGAATACCAAACCATACAGACCACCATGGCAGACCCATCTACGATCTACAATTATATAAAACCGAGGGATATTGATTAAAAATTATAAATCCTTTTCAGTTTCAATTCTAATTTTGCTGATCTCTTTCGCTCTCTGTACAATTTGTAGTTTGTAGCTGAAATTGTAGTAACTATTTCGAAGAAAAATGTGCGCTATGTGGTATTTGTGGTAAACAAACCATTGTCCCATTTAAGGAATTATTACCATGTAGTACTTTAAAAGGATTCGATTAATTCTATGTAATTTAGAACCTGTTTTACGCTGTCTAATCGATATCATGTTGTAGTTTAAGAACTATTTAACACGACGAATAAGTATCACATTAACCAACTTGAAGAAAAACAATAGCGCCACTATTTCTCTAGTATTTAGAATGTATTTTGCAATCAAATCATTACGACAAATCATCATACAAAAGTAAGAGACTTACTGGGTCTTTAGCTTATGAGTGGTGACAGTGCGCGAAGAAAAAGTCTAGGAATTTCGTAATAGCCTTTTGAAAAATTACATAAAGGATTTCTTAATTTCCATTCTATGCAACCAAGTTTTTTCTGAATCAAAAAATAAACTGAATTCGTATTTAAATTAAATAAGTACGTATAAGGACTTTCGAAATGGAAAATCTCGTGGAAAGCAGCGACGTACCACAATAATCTTTTCGATAAATTTTCAACATGATCATAAAATTAGCAAATGTTTTTCACTTTTGCAACAATTAGAAGTGGGTACATGAACTTTCAAGACCTTGTAGACATATCAGCCGTCGGTGGTAAATGGTGATATTTTAAGTGTGTAGGTATGATATATGTACTCAAGCTGGTGAACTTTACCGGTATGTTAACATAAGCCGATTCATAATAAAAATCAATGAATTCTAGTGAGGTTCGATTCTTCTGATAAAAATATGACGGTTAACCTTCGGGAGTTCGTTATCCACAGGAAGTTTGTCTAGGAACGAACAAACTTCAGGCGACAATGGATTTCCTAATATTTGTCCGTTATCACTGTGAGATCTGAGAGAAATCGTAACTTTACCTCTTGAGCAGTGCGCCGGAGAGCTTTCTTTTGATTGCCGAAGAAATTGATCCTTTATCCCGTAGTCAGTCTTTGAACGATAACACGGTTTATAATCCCACTTGATCTCTCCGAATAAAAATAGAATTGGGAGTAGGAATCGCTCTTATCTTTTAAAACAAATAGTCTTAAAGTCATGCTTTTATGCATACCTACCAACTAAATCGATTTTCTTTTTCATTCAACAAAAAAACCGGTCAAGTTCAAGTGGGACTCGCACACCCAGGGTGTATTTGGATTTCCCCTTTATTTGTGGTATAAGATAATGCCAAATTTCACAATTGTAGATCAACTGGCAGTATCCTATAGGCTTTGATTCCTTTGTGAGTGCTGTTGACTTATAAGTTTCACTTTTTTGCAACTCCAAGGGTTTTTTTTTATGTTTTCGTGGAAGAGGGGAAATCTTCAAAAGATACCCAGCCGTCCGTACGACTGGGTAGTGTCGGATTCCCGAGGAAGAAGTCCTCGGATCTACCGACTAAAACCCCTCTACCTCAGGCCGTTCTAGGACCAACTAGGGTCCTCTTCAGCCGTCCAAGGGATTGCACCTTGGTAACTAACAGGAAAATAGACAAATGAACAACGAAGTGAACCTAAATGGGTTTCTTTTATCTTTTTGAGTTACGGAATCCTAAAAATAGCGAAAATGGAAAAACCCCCATGCATAAAGCGAACTAGAAATGACTATCTACCTGTAATCCATAAAACATGTGCAAATTCATTTGGAATTGTGTTCTGAAGGTTCAGATTGTTGTCATCAACCCTTCGCTAATCAGTATTTAAGTTTTCCTAATTTAATTAATAATCTTTTGCTTTTACTGTCATGTGCCGTATTTGTTAGGGAATAATTAGTGTATAGTAAGTAAAGTATGTATGTTTAGTCAATGATCTCTTATGTTTTATCATGCAGGTACGTAGGTAGAAAATATGTATTTAATTTGGTAGCGCTACCGCCAATGGGTTGTGAGATTGTGTGATTCGTATTATGGGAACATTGTTTCACGATAAACCAACGAGCTACATACGCGATATACACATGTCGTAGTTAATAAGTTCTTGTAATCAAACCGTTGAGTTATGCGATAATAAATAAGCAATAAGGAAAAGTCGCTTATCAATTTCCTTAGACGAACACCGACAGGGCTAACACGATTATTTATTACTAGGAATTTAAAATTTCCCACATAAAAACAAAAGAATCCTTAATAATGGTTCGTACGTATTATTTTAATTTACTGGTCTCCGTGCTAACTTCATGATAGTTATGACAGTCAGCCCCTATGACGGAACGACTAAAATTGAAAGTTTATTGCCTATCGGTAAAAGGTATGCTAATACGTTTACGTCTGATTTTCCATGGATTCGTTGGTAGTTAGCATCCAAAGTGTTTTCCATCGGCAAATTTTGATTCGGTCATTTCCCATGGATTATTTTTTTAGTTTGTTGTTGTTTGCAAACAAAATGCAATAAAGCAAGTATGTAGTGTCTTCTGTTTTTTCACAAAACAAGAAAATAGTCATTAAAAGATATACGATAATAAATATTGAAGACCGACGCAAGCCATTTGCATTTCATTTCTAGTTCTACAAGCAACGGTAACTTAGCAGTCAGGATAGTATAAAAATTAGTTTAATCAAAGGTGAATCTACATAAGATGACGCGTCATGGCGCAAACGATACGCTCTGCATAGGGTCTCCATATTCTATTTTGTGTTTCTTGTGAAAATTGTAGAATTATGTGTTATTTAAGAATTTCATATTTTTAGTTTTTTATGTAAAACCCTTGAATGTTTTACGCATACACAGATTGAGCGAACGTACCCATGTTTTCTAAATTCCTGTTAGCCAAATCTATCGATTTCGGTGTTCAACGGTGAAGTAAGTATAAGTATAATATGACATCTAAATGCTAATTTCTAAAAACTGAAAGATGTTTATTTTTATTTGCTTCCTTAAGTGTTATCGTGAAATCACAAAAAAATATGTCAGTTGAAATAAAGTCGCTGCCTTAATTAATTCCTATATACATACATATGTATACGGTGATAACAGAAAAATAACAAATACAGCTGATCGCGTTTGACCTTTGTCTTGACCTCCTCTGAATTCATTGTGAAGAACATTGCGTACATGCACATATATATTTATATGCCATTCATATACCTAATCACTGGCTGGTCCCACCAAATACCAAAAGCTGATGATGAATAAGGAACGTGAATTACTTAACGTCTGAATCCTTAGCAACAGAACGACACCGTGTTGCCAAAGTTTTCACAGTTATTTCACAACTGACGAGAGACATACAAAAGTATTTTTCATTCGGACTGAAAGTCCGTGGTTTAAATGAAGTCTTTTCTTGTTTATTTAAAAAGATAAAAATTCAACGTTCATTTTGAGACATCCGAGAAATCATATCCACGGACTTGATCCTTGGAGAGCTTTTCACTTGTTTATTTTAAGATGTTACTGAAAAATTTCTTCTAGAAAATTTGACAGGAAGTCTTGACGTGTCGTGCAATCACATCCATGGACTTGATCCTTGGAGACCTCTTGCACTTGTTTATTTTAAGATATTACCAGAAAATTTCTTTTAGAAAATTTGTCAGGAAGTTTTGGCAGATACATGAACTTGATTCTTAGAGAACTTTTTCACTTATGCGATAAAGATTGTGTATCGTTTGACAACTATGTCCATGCTCGATTCTGTTAAATTTGCATATAGTATCGTCGTTGTACTTAATGTGTGGCACAACTTTAAAATCAGCTGATTTAGGCTGACGTTTCGCTAATTTGGGCTTTACGTCTACCGCTTCATCTTTATTTTTTACGTGTTAATAAGTATCGCAAACAACCGAAGGACAATGAACCAAAAATTCGTAACCGAGTAAAGGTGTGCACTCTGCTGTACATATATAAGTACATACACATGAATTACACTTATAAATAACAGTAGTACTTCTACCTTTGTATGACTGTATGTATTATTTATTTTGTGTACACTGTACACTCTTCCTTGAAGTAACATTTATACTGAAAAAGTACTTTAAGGGTTAGCTGGGGAAATGTAGAAAGGATTCTTTATTATACAATAGCTTCATGAAATAGCAAATATAT